ACACTTTACTTTAAGAGAAAGATTATTATTAAGGTAGTAAATAAAGTAGTAAATTAGCTTAAAGACCTTATTATTTTTACTATTAATAAATATACTTTTATTATTAAAAGAGTACTATTATTAGCTATTAATTAGTCTTAATAACTTATTAAATAAGGTTAAAAGTACTATTAAACTACTATATAGTAAGATAAAAAGGTTACTAGGACTACTTATAAAAAGAAAAAAGGCTATACTTTAAAGAAAGTTAAAAGAGAATAGTTTACTAAGTTTTTATTATCCCCTTAGGGAAATAGTAAGTTAAGTAAAGTGTTAGCTTTATACTAAGGTAATATAGTTTATAATATAAAAGAGGTTATATATCTTATAGTAAGCTTAATAAAAGCTTAGCTAGAAGGTTATACTACCCCTTAGGATTACTAGCTCTATAGAACTAGTTAACACTAAGATAGCTACTTTTAGAGGAGGAAGATAATAGTAGGTAGCTAGATAATAGTAGTAGGTTATAATTAGTTACTAGTTAGTCTTTTAAGATATAACCTATAGTAAGAAGGTAAATAGGTTATATTTTACACTATAGTATATATTATAAAGCTATAGTAAGTAATTAGTAAAAATAAAACTAAGGTTAAATAAATTAATCTTGCTATAAGGAGGGTTAAGAAAGAGAGAGCTACCTCCTATAGGTTTAGTAGAATTTAACTATACTAATAATTATTTTTTTAACTAATTAGATATAATAGATAGTAATACCTTTATAAGAGTAATACCCCTATATTAATTTATAATACCCCCTTATTAATTCCCTTAAATAAAGCTATTTATTTACCTTTTACCTAGAGGTTAAGTATTTTCTATAATATAAAGAATATAATAAGTAAAGTCCTTTAGTTATTAATAGGTTAATAGTAGCCTAAGGTTAGCCTAGGTAGTTACCTAACTAGCTAGGCTAGCCTCCTAAGTAGCTAGTAGTTACTAGAGGTCCTTAAAAGTATTAGCCCTCTTTTAGGTACTAGATAAATAGTTCTAGAGGGTAATAAATAGAATACTATAGGTCTTAAATACTTAGTGTATACTACTACTAGTAGTAATAATATCTATTACCTAGGTAATCTTTAACTTAGTATATTTAACTATAAGGTAATAAAGAATAAATACTAAAAAAATAAAGTTATTTAGATAAGAACTATAAAAGTAGTAATAGTATATATATAGTAGTTAGTAGTAGCTAGGGGTAAATATAAGGTAGATATATATAATTATAATATAGGGGTAATTAGAAAGTAGGTACTTTAACTTAACTATAATAATATAGGTAGCATAAAGTTAGATAAATTATACCTAATGCGTAGCTAGGGGTTATTATAAGACATTAGGAGAGGAAGGTAGTTAGGGTTTATAAAGTTAAAGAATAGACTATTAGCCAATTCCTTGAGAACGTGAGCTACATAAGGCCAGTAGTTTTCTCTACCTACAGAGAGAATAGCTTAGAAGTCTTAGATAATAGTATATTAAGCTAGGCATAGAGTAAGATAAATAATTTAAAACATTAATTTATAGTATATATATAGAGAACACTATAAGATAGTAGGTATAAAAAGTGCCTTACTAATGCGCTGATTCTTGCTACTACTCCTCTGGTTCTTAATCTATAAGGGTTATTAAAGCCTGTTTAAGCTATTGTTTATTAGCTACAGATTCTGGCTCTAGTAGCAAGGGCTTTACTAGTGACTTGTATCCTACAAGGAGCATTAACTATATACTAGATAGGTAATAGTTAATAGAGCCACTTTAGATACCTTACTTCTAATTCTGTTTAAACAGAACTACAGTAGAAGACGAATTAAGTGTCACTAAATTTATAGTTAACTTTTTTAGTAGTAGTAGGGTAGGCCTATAGCTTATGTTACTTAGTAGATTACACCTATAGTAACAAAGTACTCTTAGAATAATCCCCTAATAGAGCTAGAAATAGCTGTAGATTAAAACCCTACTTGTAATCTGTTTAAAGTAGGAGAGGGGAAGAGAAGCTAGAGCCACCTTAACTAAAAAAGGCCTATAATTACTTACTGTATAGTACAGTATAAACAGTGTAGAATAGAGACTGTTTGTAAAGAACAGGGTCTATTTCTAGACACTTAATTTAGGCTTAGTATCTACTATGTTATACTCTAGGGGTTCTACTAATCCTTAATTAAACAGCGCTAATAGCTAATCTTGACTATTTCAATAGGTTAGCTAAAATAGCATCTATTAGCTAATTATATCTTTAGCTGCCTAATATAGGTATATATACAGTAGTAGTGTTTTACTAACAATATTATTTTCTTAACCTTGTCTTTACTGTACTATGCTCTTAGCTGTTTTATTTCTACTGTATAATAACTTCTATAATAGCTCTTGTACCTCTAATTACTATAAAAGAATAAATTACTAATAAAGTAATATTATAACTATAGTAGATAGCTATTCTTTTACTAGGGAGCACTTTCCTTAACGTTAGGTTTAGCTTTAGGTTTAATATAGTAGCAATAAAAACTCTTAGTGTAACAGTTTTTAGTGTTAAACCTAACAAAGACGCATTTTCTTAGGCCCTATAGGAAAAGAATATTATCTAAGCCAATGCGTTCTATAGAAGACTATAGGACATGCTAAGCAACTTTGTAGACTAAGTTAATATAGCTACTGTGTTGCTCTAGGAAATTTATTAATTAGAATATAATAATATCCTTGAAATACTGTTGTAGAAAGTCTTATAACAAGGGAAGGTTATTATAGGTATTTATAATAAACAATATATCTTAGATCCTTATAGGGTGGCTATAAAGCTATATATAGCATAATATTTTAGCAACATAGAAGAGAAGTAGTTTTTTAGCATATAGAACAAATATCTTCTTATTTATATAAGTCTAAAGATTTAATAGTTATATATAAGTATGCTTTCTTGCTTGCCTAGTGATCCCCTTTTACTATACTTAATGAGATTTAGGATTAGGCTAATAACTAATAGTTTATACTAGGATGCGTAATTGGCTTAGGCCTAATGTATAGCTAGGCATTCTTAATACTAAGCCTATTAAGGCTATATTTTAGCTAAGAATAAGGCTACTAAGTAGATCTACACACTTGATTTTGTTAAAGGGGTAGGCTTATTAGGTAATAAAATACTCTTGTTGGGAGAGGGGAGGCATACTTTATAACTTAATTAATAGCGTGGTTTTTATAAGGCTCTAGAGAAGGACCTAAACTAAAGCCTATAGAAATTAGAAATCTAAAGAAACTAAAAGGAAGTAGTTATAAGGCCTCTAATTATAGGTAGCTAAGATTAGCAGAAGTAAAGTAGCACCTATTTTACCTATATGCCCTCTGCTAGGAATCCATATTATTATAAAACCCTAAAATTAACTAGCTAGATAATAAATATGCTTAGGATTATAAAGTTCTTGAATTTTTAATGTTTAGCTGCTATAGAGTTGGCCCTGCTGCCTAATAAACTAGTTTAGTGGCTAAATAGGCTAGCTTGATCCTAGTAAAGCTTAATTAGAGACAAGTGGCTGCGCTTACTACGCTGATTTTCCCTACGTTAAGGAGGAGAAGCAGAACAACGTTGTGGCTTTCTATCTAACTGGTGCTATACGTGTTATAATCTTCTAGTGCACTTCCTAGCTGCGCTCTATCTTCCTCCTATATCTCATTGTAAGCAAAGACAATAGCATTGTATTTGAGGGGTAGGGCGTATATAAGGGCAATTTAGAAGTCCTTGCGACGGCAACGTTAAGCATAGCTGTTCATAGCAAATTATTAATAATCGGTAGTAGCCTAGATAAGCATCAGGCGTAGACTAACAAAAGATCAGTAGTTAATAATAGTTGTTAATGGTTATAACAGTTGTTAGGGGCATTAGGACATGGTTTTGACTAGGCGTCAGCTATGTACTACGTAAGATCAGGCTAGCGCCTTGGTAAGGACAGCAATTGGTTCATGTAATCTATACTACCTAAGCTACTTGTTACAGTTATTCTAACTGTATCATGCGTTGGCCTCCTACTGCACACAGCTTGTTAAGATTATCTAACGCATCGTTAAAGAGCCAGTTAACCCTTGTGACCTAATGAGAATAAGTCTTTTTTCTAGGACAAGCTGTAGTATTTCCTTACAATGTAAATAGGATGTAACGAATAGTTAAGGCAGCCATTGCTCAAATAGCAGCCTCCACTGATGCCGTCATGCGGGTCAACAACAGGAGTGGCTCTAGAGCCAATCATAGCTGGAAAAGTTCTGTTAATTTTTTAACAACGAAATTATACATGTTTTGATGCACCTCAGATCTCGGTTCATGCACAAGTAACTACTACTATACGCCAGCTTAACCAAGGGCAACATCTAACTACCCTTCATAAATATAATTTTATGCAGTTTTGTGCTGAGCGCAGCGATGAGCATTCTGGTCAAAGTGCTTCGAATTACGTTCATGTAGTTCTGGACAGGCGGTTCAGAAGCAGTCAATAGACAGACCCATAGAAACCAGTAGAAACCTATTAAAAAGTCTACAAAGCGGCCACGTAGTCTCTACTCGTAGTTAGCAATAAACCGCAAGACGTTATAGTAATGATCCTTCCTGAACATCGCCTGTCTTGGAAGGCATGTGTACTATCATAGAAAGCCTCAACTTTGACTGGCCAGAGGACGATTTTGCTATACATTATAGAACCCCCAAATACCTAATCTCTGACTCTACAAGAGTCAGCCTAGCAGCTGAACACGCCAGCTTAGATGCCAAAGAGGCCAACGACCAGTCAAATAATGAACGTGCACTGCCCCTCCTCTAATCAAATAACTAGGACTGTACAACTTAGTATAATAAGAATAACCCTATATATATTCACTAGAACTTTCGCTAGAAGGTCTCCTAGCGTAAGAATAACCAAGCAAGGCAAATTTATTTAGACATAGACCCTAATCTTGTCCTAGCTCCAAGCGACTTTTAGAACATTGACTTTAAGCTACAACTTGAGACCCTATTGAAAGACAGGAGCAAATTCCCAGGAGATAAGTATACGTGCAAAGAAACAATTATTAACATATCCATTAAGCAAAGCCACCAGCGCGGTCTAAAGAAGCGATTTAAGGGCGTAGAGATTGATTAGGACATAGTGAACAACTATATAGAAGGCCTAGGTCCCTTGTTTAGCAAGGGAAGGAAATTAACTTTTAGTTTAGAGCTTATTTACAAGGAAACCTTAGGCAACTCCACGACCACCAAGGGCAAGAGGAAGAAGCCAAATGCCACCAAGGCCCAAAAGCTTCAGAGAGTGGCCAACGCTGGTCTTTAGACCTGAGTCTATGAGTATCATTATTGTAGAGGTAGATACTATAAGCAAGGACTATATTGCTAGCCAAATGAACAAGTAAACCACCATAAGCTATTATTAAGGCATTTAGAAGAGATTATGTGTTATATAAAAGGAAACATGAGGGAAGGGGAGAACGCAGAGGAGGTTAACGTTGGTATCGAGATCCTATTAATAATCCTCTAAGACGTATTGGATGACAGCCGCAAGCGAAAGGCAGAGGGCTCTATTAATTGTTTTAGCTACAAGGCCTATGCATTAGGCCACAGTAGGCATTATAATATAGCCAAGGTAACCCTTACTAGAGACCTTGGCCCCATAGAAGGGGATAGAAGTAACATACTTAAGGAGTACTACAACTAGACTCTATAACAAGTTAAAAGCGACCAATAGAGAGGGGCTTTACAAACTGCGAATTAGTTTACGTTAGATTAGTTTCTTGAACTAAACTCTATTCTACAGCACCCGAAGGTCGCTGCTAATTTAATAGTTAAGGGCGGGGTGAAACCAGGCATTACACTGCAATTTGTAAGCAGCATTAAGAAGTTTCAGCAAGAGGCAAAGAGGCTTTGAAGAGCAGGATGAAGTTTCCTATATCTAGACTCTACTTTAATTAGACTGCGTTTGCGTTTATCTTGGTGGCTATGTAATAGATCGACGCACCACTCCAAAAACATTTGGAACTCTCTTGCAATGAAGTCCTCGTTCTCATGCCACTGTTTCTTAATAAACCTCTTAAGTACTCCAAAGTGCTCCTCAATAGGGTTGAAGTCAGGCGAGTACAGCGATAGAACCTCCAGCACCACACCCGCATCTCGGCACATCTGCATAGTCTTCTCTGACCAGTGCCACAAAGCATTATCCATGACGATTACCGACTTAGGCTCTAGGTATCTACCACAGTAATGGAGCAGTTAAGCAATAAAGTCTTCGAACAAGTCACTGTCTGTTGACTCTTGGTAAACTCGTCTCAGCAGGATGCCATCTTGGGCGTATGCTGGAAGAATGTGCCATCTTCTTCCGCGGCCGAACTTCGTGATTTCCACCAGAGAGGACCCCTTCGGAGACCACCCCCAGCGCCAGTAGCCCGCCCGTCTATCACAGCCAGATTCGTCTACAAAGACAAGCTGGTAGGACTTGTACTGCGATATCCTATGTAGATAGTGGTCTCGAAGATCGTCATCCCGTTGTTGGGCAATACGGCGGATCGTTTTTCTAGTCCAGCCGATTGACCGCAGGGTCCGACCGATCGATCGCTCCGATATACGTGTCCCAAAGTGACGATAAAGAAAGTCTGCTATCTCGCATCGATACAGGTACAGCTGTTTAATTAACATGTCACATAAGGTCTTCTGCATGGACGATGTCATGCGGCTTTGGCGGCCAACGTGGGCTGTTCTTCAGGTAGGCATTTTGGAATATTGTCTTTCTAGACGGATTCTCTGGACGGTGCGCACAGTGCCTAAGGTTTTTGAGGCTACTAGCTTAGTATTGTATCCTTGCGTCAGCATAGTTTCAACCAGAAGACGCTTTGTAGCATCAAGTTGCGGCGCCAGGGTGGTGGCTTTTGGAGAGGCAGAAGACAACAAGGAATATAGGAACAACAAACTGGGCAGCAGATGGGCGCTGTACACCTTTTGCTATATAAGGTGGCCCCTGAACGGGTTACCAGTGGGGTTATAGTCAGCATCCATATCTAGCTTTGTTCCAGAAGGAAGGATACAGTGGCACAAATGGGTGCAAGACATCTTATTTCCGTTGCGGTGGTCCCCCAAACGGATTACCAGTAGGGTTTGTGGTCAGCAGCCAGTTCTAGCTCTGTTAGTGATTGTTCCTTGAGTACTGCGTCCCTACAGGGGTGATCTGCCAAGCCGTATAAGCCACAGGCCCACACCAACACCACTAAAAATGTTAACTAAACTTTCAGCAACACTTAATTCGCCTTCTACTGTACATCCTGCATACTTCTAATATGTATCATTTGGATTCGAATTTGCTCTCCAAACATGGCCGATTCCGAGAGGCTGGCCTTTACGACAGATAATGAAGACCTAAACTCTTCGAACGAACATGACGACGAGATATTTAACTAAGCGATAAACACAGAGGTAAAAGCTAGGGCCTTCTAGGACTGCACCACAGTAACTCATTAAGTAGACCAAGATGCTACCTTTTGCCCACTATATTGACTTTCATCCTTACTTGAACTAGGATGGTTATAGAAAGCCTGTGAAGCAGTTTATACTACATTGCAAGAAGTTCACAGTTCCAATCGAGACAATCTTCCTAGCGGTCAATTACGTAGACCGTTTTCTATCTATAAAGACCGCAAAGTCCTATTAGGGAATTCTAGGTGCAGTCGCCTTCCTATTGGCTGTTGAACACAAAGGCGTGATACACCGTCCGCCATCCGTATTTAACCTTTATTATCTCTACAGCATCTATTACGAACAGAGTAACATACCCCTTATCCAAGAACAGCTCTTGGAGATACCAAAACATCGCCTCGAAGTGCTGAGCCCTTTCTATATCTTACGTCGGATAGCAACCATCGATAGACTAAGCCCTCACATTCACACGTTCGCACGATACTTAGCTGCGAGTACTGTGCTCAACGAGAGATTCATCAGTATGAAACCGAGTCAAGTCGCCGCTGCATCCTACTTTCTTTCTTAGATACTGCACAATTCAAGTGGATCCCATTATAATTGCTCTGACATAGTCTAGGTAGGTGAGAATTACCTAGCCGGCTAACGTTACTGTTAATAAAGTCCAGTCAGGTCGGCATTCCAAACTCTCAGGATACAGCAAAGGGGAAATAAAACCTGTTTCATCCCTCATTTTACTTACTATACGTTAAAATCATGCCACTGAGTCTCTCAACACACTTACAAACAGCCTTAACAAGTTTAGGCCGGTCGCTAGTCTTATAGAGAAGGCAAAAACAGTGGCTACGTCTATTCGCAGTCTGTATATGGAATCTTACGACCATCCAGAGAATGATGAGAGCAATAAGGATACTAATACTTCTAATGAAAGGAAATGATACTGTGTCATTGCAAACCAGGCAGTGAGAATCCGTACGAGAAAGGGCGTGGGTCTGGCGCTCGAGGTCTGCCCTGTTAAGGCTATGTCACTACGAGCTATGTGATGGCTGGCGAACTAATATACGCGGTAAATGCTTCTCTAAACTGACAAAACTAGTCCAATACTCATGCTGAAACCGGCTCGTTATGGATTATGAGAAAAGGAGGCAGACAGGAAAAAAAAGGCTTATTAAGATTGCTTATTATAAAACCAGCGGGGCAAATTGATTATTGCAAAGTATTGCAGGGTATTAGTTCTTCATACTGATACTACTTGAATACATTAACGTAGTGACTTGTGAGGACTGATGAACTTTTAGTGCATATGAATGACTGTTGGCATATGGGTGATGCGGCCGGAGGAGGTAGGTCACGTGACACACCGCCTACCGGCAGTATTCCCCACCCTTGCCCACACGCAAGGGAGCTACTACACTTGTGCCCTTACCTTTAACAACAACTATTATAATAACACTCAATTGACCACTTTTTCCTGCACCTTGTGAAATCACAAGAACCAGGGATATCCCATCAATTAATGAGTGAAAACCAACAATGACCTTCTACCTTGCTTAAACCAGACGAATGTAACTAGTCACCTGAGCTCTAGGCAGCTAACATTTCCCAACGCAGGCGCCCATGCCCCATGCACTTATACAGAGATTTCATACTAAAACCATCACCTCCTTCTTGCTGTCGCAATAGGCAGAAGACCCTCTAAACAAAAAGAGATGGTGTCGCATGCCTAAAACGCTATTAGTAAAGAATAGAATGCCAGAAACAACCATACCGGAGCTAATTTATCTAAAAAAAGACCGTCCTTAGAGAATTAGTCAACAGCCCCCTTAGGTGGTTTTAATACGTTTCCGCTTTATCAAGCTGTAGTTCTTCTCCATAACGCCTATTTCTAGATGCAGCAGGCCAGTAGAAGTATTATAGTCACAATAGACAGTCCTATTAAGATATAGACTATAATAGAAAACTAGCGCATTACAGGACTATAAGATAGTAAAGAGTAACAGATAGAAAAGGGTAAAACTAGCAGCTACGCCTAAGGAAAATGTCTAGTTACAGTAAACTCTTCTAGTTCTCTTACTGCACAGACATATACCTTCACCATATAAAAACCATTATTTGTACACATAGCACTGGCATAAGCACAGGCTAATTACTCTAGAAATAGATTAAACTAGGGACTAATGAACACTGTGGCTTCAATTATACGTTATAATAGCAACGCCTAAAATAGACACCGGTAGTTTTTTTTATTACGACGCCGTTCCTCTCATAATCTACTCACCCCTGTTGTAGTTAACCTGCCGTTAGTTAGGACAGGCTCCTTGCTTAAGCCCCTGGTCTAGTTTGACCCGACAGTCTAGTAACAAGGTAAAGCCATTACCCACAAATTTCAGGCACCAGGGGCCAGTGATTTAGGCAATAGACTAATGGTCTAACCTTGGAGTTGGTGTCCGCGGGTCCCCACTGGCCCATACACCGCGTCAAGAGAATCAAGCCCACAGGACAAGCACAAGGGCACAACAGCAAGACAGAAGACATTACGCAACTAACTTAGAAGGGGGTTTACTAGTGGGCTCAGCTAGAAGCAAGGCCTCTAACACAAGCGTATTTTAATATACTAATCTTGTGTACATCCTGGTTCTAATATAGCAGGACCACATTTATTACGCCAGTCGCGTTAGTAAAAGGAAATAGCACTATGTTATTACAACTAGGGAGTAACCGAATTAGAATAGAAAAGGGGCTATTATTAGGTCTACAAAAAGCAAGCACTAGTAATTGCACTGAGCAAGATCTTGACCTAGCTAAGGATGTTTAGGTTAACATGTTCTCTAGCCACGTGTAGGACGGCGCCAGGAAGAAGGCCCTTGCCCAACAAGAACAGCCCCTCTAGAGGAAGAGCTAATGCGTAGCATTTATAAGACAGAGCATAATCTTATATCTTGCCCTAGAGAAGGTTACTCTTTGCTCTTATAATTTTCCTTAACCGCTCTTCCTACGTCTTGTACAACCCCAGGCCTTAGAATATATAGAGAAAGTGAATATCTTTATACTTCACTGTCCTACAATTATTACAAGCTAGGCTAAGGCTATATCTTGCACACCCACTCTAACTAATGTATCTGTATACAGCTTACTGCTAATTACACAAAGATACTATAGTTATCTAACTAATATAAACGCCTTTAATAAGTTATAGCTTTTTAGATTACTTTTGTAATAACGCTTGTTTTAATTTTACCTGCCTAATTACTCTAATAGTTACTTAGATAGATACTTAGACGTTCTGCCCTTTGCGCGTAGTTAATGATAATTACAGTGCTCTGGTCAAAATACTAGTTCAGTCACTACCATAGAGCCCACTGTGCCACAACAATCATGATTCATCCATCTCAAGAGACTCGTCCCAAAACAGGCATTCAACGCGCGCATCTCAAAAGTCAGTCTAAATATAACAAAGAAGCCTAGGAGCAAAATAATACAGACCAATCTAGGCTCTAAGTTAAAGGCAAGATAGCCTAACGAGCACCCCTACGTCACCAAGTTAGCGCCTAGTCAACAAAGGGGTAAGTTGTAATTTACAGTGAACCTAAGCCATTAGACAAGGTACATTTGGTGCACCAAAATATACAAGACTTAGGAACCCATTACGCAGTCACCTAGCAGAAAGTTAGTTCCAGCAGCACATAACAGTGCTCTTCACTTTGCCTCTCATAGCTACACACTCAGCCTAGCCCACATCTTTAGCTCATAAGCATCTAGATCTCCTACTTTCAAGTCAAAACTAGTTTATTATATTAAGGTATAGTTTAAAGTTAAACTTAGAGCAGGCAGAGCTAGATAGGCAGGCGCCTAGGCCGTATAGAACATATTAACATAGAGCAAGCTAGAGCCAAGATCACAGCGCAACTAGCCAAGGCAGCAACATAAGAGACAAAGTCACAGCGCAACTAGCCAAGGCAGCAACATAAGAGACAAAGTCACACCACTGTTAGGCAGGGGTACAACTTAGGAGAAGCAGGAAAGACAAGCAACTAATTTTTCATCAAAGTATTAGGAAAAAGGTAGATAGTACAAAGGTCAACGTCAAAAGACAGGCGCAACGCAACACTTATAGGCAGCGTCAATTAGGACAGACAGGGGTACATAGGCAAAGCGGCGTGGGCGCCATGCCCAATTGGGAGGTGCCGCCAAACCTGAGGAGGAAGCAGCAACTTCTCAATTACTTATCTTATTACTTAATAACCCTTATCTAGACAGTGTAATCTTGAATAATAATAAGTTATATTAATTTCTAGCCTACTGTTAAATCTACTCTTTCTACTGTTTCTATGAACGCGAAAAACCTTGTTTCTCCCAGTAGGGCCGCACATAATCCTTCTGCTTCCTGCAGCCAGCACCCTGGCGCCATTGTTCGCAATGCATGCGAGTAAAGTACACCCAACCGTCCCACTTCGTGCCAGGCCAAGAAGCGGACTCGAATTTAGGGCAGTGGATGAGAGACCTACAAGAAGGCTGGCGAGATAGAGAAGCATACTGGAGAAGAAGCAGATACGTATGTACATATCAACCAGACCACTTCGTTTCTTCTTCCTCTTGCCACTTTGGCTAAGGAGCTTAACATCCCCATGCGGTTGAATAACCTGCTTTCAGCAAACCCGTGGCATTTTGGGAATATATACATGACGCAGTCAAACACAACTGACCGAGACCCCCCCCCCCACACACACACAGATGGACACGAACAGAATAAGTCAGCGCGAGCGCGAGTACACACAAAAGCGGGCAATGAAAGTAGAGGAAGAATGTTCCGCGTGCAACATATCTACATCTTCAACAATACCCATCAAATCACCGTTGACCGAGGCATCGAATCCCGCACCCGCGGCCCAACCCACGAAACCTATGGGAACCACCTCGGGAAGCGGAGCCTGAGACAATCAAAACATGGAAAGGATATGCGTCAGAATTATGCGAGATCCTGGACGTTCTAGGTCCTCCTACCCCCTTCCTGTGATTTGACATTGACTAATCTTCAAAGGCTTACACCCTCGATAGCAACCCGGCTGCCAGCCAAACAAACAAGCTGTTCGATTACGACAACAATGCCATTTCGAACCGTCCCGGACGAAAGGTGACGCACTGACGAAGCAGGAGAAGGGATAGCACATCGGCATCAATAACCATTTGTGTGGAGAGGAGCCTTTCAACAGCATCTGCAACCTGGTCAATACTGCAGATCAGTATTCTTTCTGCGGACTTCATCTGGAATTGCGGCGAGCTTTCGACCTTATCTCGGAAGGGAAGCTGGAACACTGCTGCAAGAAGTATGTCTACCCCAAAGAGGAAACGGCGACATTCCAACGGCCGCCACCATAAGCACGACCTGTTATGATTCGCAGTCCTTCTCAGCGAAACTCTGGAAGAGGAGGGGGGGCTCCTTATCGGTTCCGATATATTTTATAGAGGTGCATATCTCGATGTTGCTAAGCAACGTTTCTGTGAGTTCACGCCATCAAATCTCTCTCCATCAGGGGTAAAAGAAATCGCTGGAATGCTGATAGCCTTCAG